GCCAGGGTTCTGCTGAAGGGCTTCCCTGAGCTCCAGCAATGGTCCTCCCAGTTCAGTGCCATCAACAACCAGGGCAGAGCTGCCTGCTCTGGGCAATGGTACAGCTGTTCAAGTGCCCATGTCCCAGGACAGTCCCTTGTCCTGCCTTACAACGCCCCAAGATGTCCCTGTGCCCTGCAGGGAGGGTGAGAGCCCTTCCCCTCTGCTCTCTCAGCCTCATCACCCAGCTGGGCCTTTGCCCCTCTCTTTGTCTGCCCATCCAGGCTGGGATGGCCTCACTGGGCTGGAAGAGAATGGAGGGAAACCAGGACAAGAGCTGAGCTGAAGTGGAGCTCAAACACATCCCCTGCCCTCCCCTGTGACCCAGGGCAGTTGCTGCATCCTGAAGGCCACCAGGCTGGTGGGGCCTGATTTATCCTTGGACCATCCCTGCTCCTGCTCTTCTCTTTCAGTGCCAGACACGTCACCCCCTGGAGCCCTTCCCTGTCTCACTGCTCCCCAAAGGCACCTTGTGCAGCCTCTGCTTCCCTGGGCTGCACTTTGGCCCCTGTCCCAGATGGTGCAACCTCAGTTTGTCTGCACTCCCAGCAGAGCTCTACCAATTCCAGGGCCTTTCAAAAGGGACATTCCAAAGGAGTCTTGCTCTTCCCCTGGAGCTTCAGCACCACTGTTCTGCCTGTTATCTGGGCTATTGAGTTTCCCCAATCTCTCATATCCTCACACCTGTCCTGACACACTGACCATCTCGATGATCATCTTCTCACACAGACTGTCAAGACAAAGGCCCTTCCCAGTTTTCTCCTCTCCTTCCTCTTTCTCCATTCAGATCCCTCTCACCTGTGCATGTGGGAAGGGAGGTCAAAGCTTGTTTGTCAATTCAGGAGTCTGATTGTCTCCTTAGCAAGCTCCTGAATTGTGTTTCTCTCAATACTTTTGTATGGACCTGTGAAAAACCTTTCTGATAACGTTATCCCTGATAGAAAGGTGACACCATCAGGGGCAGCTTGTACTGAGCATGTGCTTACAGGTGTTTGGATGTTTAGGGCAGTTGTTCATGCTTTACATTTCTTGTCATTTCTTAGAAAGAGGAAAATTTTTCCTGGGTCTGTGTGCAAGCAGAGCTCCAAGGAGAGCAGGTGAGAGATGGTGCCATGGAACATCCAGCTGCAGAGCTCAAAGTCTACTGCAAGAAGGGGGATGTCAGTCCAAGATGGGCCATGTCAGAACTGGTGAATTTGGGGGTGAGGAACAAGGCTGATCATACAGGGTCAGTCTGGATCTCCTGAGGAGACACTCAACATCAAGATCACTTGGAGAACACCTCTATCACCTCTCTTCTGAATTTAAAAATATCCATCCTTGACTTACAAAAAAAAAAAAAAAAAAAAAAAAAGTACAAACTTTGAAGGCTCGTTTTGAAATTGCTACTAATCTCTTTTGCCCCCTTATCTTTGTGTCCAAATCCTTTGCACCTTGACCCTCTTGCATCCCAAGGCTCTGTGTAAATCACTCCTTTTCAAAGAAAATTATATTTTTGTGACTTCCACTTTAAAATCTTCCTCCTTAGCTAAACTACAAAACAACTCCAATTAGTCTTTGAAGAATTGAAAACATGAAGACAATTAAAGGAAGGAAAATAATTTGTTTGTCTGTATTTTAATGAGCCCCACAGTGTGTTTAGAGACAAGTCCATCATTCTGAATTACTGAGAGAAGATTGAAGAAACTGCTCAAGAAGTCAGAAGCCAAAGCCCAAGTCCCTTGAAGCATTGCTGGGCCCCACTGAGGGCAGGCACTGACAAAGCCTCCCCAGGGACTCCTTCGAGCAGATCCTTGCAGGCCAGGAGTGCAGGCAGACAAAGGAAAGTTGCTTGTGGTAGCCTGAGGGGCAGAGGCAGCTGCCAGAGCCAAGGGCACAAAGGCCTGGGTGCCTTTGGGCCTTGCAGCCCTGCCAGAGCCCTTGGCCATCTCTGCTGCAGGCTGTGCTCCCCTGGCCCTGCTGCTCCTCTGGCCTTGCAGGCTGCACACACCCCTCCTGCTTTCCCACCCCCCTCCCAGCAGCATTTCTGGGCCCTCCCTGATGGCTCTGCTGGCCCCCAGCTCTGGCTGCTGCCATGTGCACTTGGCCTTCTTGGCTTGGATGCTGAGCCCCTGTGCCCCAGGACATCCCTGAGAGAGCCCAGGCCCTTCTGCTGGGGGTCCCTGCAGAGCTGAGCAGATCCAGGTCACCTCCCATTGCTCTGCCAACCCCTTGGGGCTGCTCTGGGCCCTGCAGGTCCTTGCCCTGCTCCCAAGGGCTGTGGGGGTGCTTCATGGTCAGGGCTTGGGCTTTAGAGCTCAGAGTGGGGATTGGGCAGAACTTTGGCAGGTTTGTTGTTCTGCTGGCAGTGTCTGGTTCATGATGAGGGGAAGAGATTTTTGGGCTGGGTCAGGAATAAAACTTGGCTTCTCATGCTGGTATTAGAGGTATTTGCACTTTCAGAGTTTTAGTACCCTCAGCATTACATGAAACTGTTTTTACCTCATCAAAATCTTTCCTCTCTTTTGGCCAAGCCCCTCTTTCCTTCCCCAAATATCCAATCCTTTTTGTCCCAGTTCCTCCTGATCTCCCCCAAACATTCATCTGGGTTGGCTCAGCTTTTTGATGACACTGTGTAACGTCATGGAAACAAGGGACACTGCAGGGCCTCGTGGAAAGAAAGGGACATAGGGACAACTGTGAAATCTTGTGGAACCAGGGAATCATTTCACATGTGGGGCCTTGTGGAACAAAAGGGAATCTTGAAACCTTTGGAACCTCATGGAACCAGGGAGCCCTTGTGTCGCTGTGGTGCCTCCTGGAAACAAAGAAACTCTGGGACACAGTGGAACCTCATGAAATGAAGGGGCTACTGTGACACTACAGGGCCTTTTTGGAGCCAAATGGACCTTGGGACACTGGGGAACCCCACAGAATCAAGGGGTCATTGTGTCACTAAAGACACCTCATGGACTCAAGGGGACCACTGTGACACTCCAGGGCATTCTGGAGCCAAAGGATCCCAGGGACACTGTGCAGCCTCCTGGAATCAAGGGACCATTTTGACACTGCAGGACCTTATGGAATCAAGAGGCCACTTGGACACTTCTGGCTCTGATGGAAACAAAGGAACCCTGGGACACTGAAAATCCAGGAGGCATTGTCACACTGAAGGCCCTGTGGATCCCAAAACACTGTTATAAATACAGGTTTGGAATTGGGGTGGGCACTGGAGGACAAATAAGAGTCTGGAGTTTTGGATTTGGACTTTGCCTTTGAGGTCAGGTTGAGGTTGGGATTAGAGCAGTGGATTCCTTCCAATGGGAAAGTCACCACTTTTAGGTTCGGGCTTGAGGTTAGAAATAGTGTAAAGGTGCAAAAGGAGTGTTTGCATAGTCAGTGTTTCAGCACCCTCAGAATTACCTGAACCTGCTTTTACCTCATCAAAATCTTTCCTCTCTGTTGGTCAAGCCCCTTTCTCCTTCCCCAGATATACAATCCTTTATGTCCCAGTTCCTCCTGATCTCCCACAAACTTCCATCTGGGTGGGTTCAGCTTTGTGATGACACTGTGCAACCTCATGGAATCAAAGGGGCTATTGTGGCACTGCAGGGCCTCATGGAAAGAAAGGAACACAGGGACACTGTGAAATCTTGTGGAACCAGGTCACCATTTCACATTGGAGGCCTTGTGGAACAAATAGAGCCCTGAAACTTTTTGGAACCTCATGGAACCAGAAAGCCCTTGTGTCACTGTGGTACCTCCTGGAATCAAAGAAACCCTGGGACACAATGGAACCTCAGGAAAGGAAGGGGCCACTGTGACACCACAGGGCCTTTTTGGAGCCAAATGGACCTTGGGACACTGGGGAACCCCACGGAATCAAGGGGTCATTGTGACACCGAGGACACCTCATGGACTCAAGGGACCACTGTGACACTCCAGGGCATTCTGGAGCCAAAGGAACCCGGGGACACTGAGCAGCCTCCTGGAATCAAGGGGCCATTTTGACACAGCAGGGCCTCATGGAAACAAAAGCAAATACAGGCTTGTCCAGGTCCTGAGGGTGATTCAGAAGGGAGGCAGCAGTGATTGCTCCCTACAGACCCAGGACTCCAATGGTCTCTCCCTGCCCTGAGGGTTTCTGGCCATCAGGCTGTAGCTGAGGGGCTTGGGCAGGGCCATGAGGAGAGGGTAGAACAAGGGCTGTGTCCAACTCTGCCAGGAGGGCTGTGCTGGGCAAGGAGGAGGAGGCTGCAGCAAACAGTGGCACTGCTGAGGGGAGAGGAGCAGGGGGAGAGACCTTGTGCCTGCCCACGCTGGGCAGGAGCTGCCCCAGGATGGCAGCTCTGAAGCACTCCCAGCATGTTCCTGGGAACAGCAGGGGAAGACTGGATTTCCAAATCAGGCTGGCAATGCAAAGAGCAGGAGTGTCCTGGTGTCACTGCAGGAGAGTTCCAGCCCTGCAGCAAGGGCACAGAAGAAGTGACCCAGTCCATGCAGTGCCCTCAGAAGATCCCACAGCATCCTGTAGATGCTGTCAGGGAGGCGAACCCTGCTTCACAAGTTCCCAGTGCCTGTCCGTGCCTGTGCTCAAAGATCTCCCACCCCCAGGACTGTGCTCAGAGAACACTCAGGCCTTCCAGCCAGAAAGGGGCTCACAAAGACAGTGTGAAAGTGGAAGGAGCAACTCAGCAAAGCCCAAGCTCTGCTGCTCCCTGGCAGTGCTGCTGTGCTGGGATTCTTGTCCCCTTGCACTTTGCAAATCCCCCTGTCCTGCAGTGTGCTGTCCTTTAGGAACAGCTAAGAAGAAGGGTCTTGGACAAAAAAGGCACTTCAGTGTCCTTTATTATGTTTAAATATGCAGAGAGTACAATTCATCATTTATACATTTCTGGGTAAAATTCAATGAGTAGACACTAAATTAGAAGGCAGATGCATAATAATATTTCATTGTACAGGAAATGATTGCAAGAAGAACCTCATGACCCCCGCAAAAACTTGAGCAGGAATGCTTGTACATTAAGGACTCCCCTTCTGAATGATACACACAAGAACACAGGCACTTTTATTTCTTCTGCAAAGCATCTAGTCATCATTTTCCTTATGGCATCCTTGAGCTCCTGGTTCCTCAGGCTGCAGATGAGGGGGTTCAGGGCTGGAGGCATCACCGAGTACAGAACTGACAGGGCCAGATCCAGGGATGGGGAGGAGATGGAGGGGGGCTTCAGGTAGGCAAATGTGCCAGTGCTGACAAACAGGGAGACCACAGCCAGGTGAGGGAGGCACGTGGAAAAGGCTTTGTGCTGTCCCTGCTTAGAGGGTATCCTCAGCACAGCCCTGAAGATCTGCACATAGGAGAAAACTATGAAAACAAAGCAGCCAAATGCTAAACAGGCACTAGCCCCAAGAAGTCCCAGTTCTCTCAGGTAGCCTGAGTGTGAGCAGGAGAGCTTGAGGATCTGAGGGATTTCACAGAAGAACTGGCCCAGGGCATTGCCCTGGCACAGGGGCAGGGAAAATGTATTGGCTGTGTGCAGCAGAGCATTGAGAAACCCAGAGGCCCAGGCAGCTGCTGCCATGTGGGCACAAGCTCTGCTGCCCAGGAGGGTCCCGTAGTGCAGGGGTTTGCAGATGGCAACATAGCGGTTGTAACACATGATAGTGAGGAAGGAAAACTCTGTCCCAAGAAAGAAGAAAAGGAAAAAGACCTGAGCAGCACATCCTGTGAAGGAGATGGTTGTGGTGCCCCAGAGGGAGTTGTGCATGGCTTTGGGCACAGTGGTGCAGATGCAGCCCAGGTCTGTGAGGGAGAGGTGCAGCAGGAAGAAGTCCCTGGGGGTGTGCAGGTGCTGGTCGCAGGCTACGGCGCTGAGGATGAGGCCGTTGCCCAGGGAGATGCCCAGGAAGAGCCAGAAGTGCAGCAGCTGCAGCTCCCGCCTGTCTGCAAATGCCAGGAGCAGGAACTGGGATATGGAGCTGCTGTTGGGCATTTATTGCCTCTTGGTGTGGGGCACTGTCCAAGGAGGAAATATCAGTGATATGTTAGCAGAGAACTTCCTGAGAAAAATCAAAGCCATTTCCCAATACCCCATCCCTGCTACACTCCCCCATCTCTTTGGTTTTGGGTTTTTTTCTCAAATTCTCTCATCTCTCCTGAGGAGTGTTCCTGGATGTCAGAACCTCTCAGCACTCCTGATGAGCTCAGGGAGAACAGAGCTGGTCCTTTGCTCTTTCCCCCCACAGCCCCTGCCCAGCCCTGAGGGAGCTCCCCAGCCCGGCTGAGGCTGCCCCTGGCAGGTGGCAGAGCTGCTGCCCCGGCACAGCCCCTGGGCTGCAGGACCCTGCTCTGCAGGACAGCTTGGGGCAGCCTGGGGGGCACAGCCCGGCTTCACAGCCCTGCAGGAGCCCTGGCAGAAGGGAACCCTGCTGGGATGGGCCTGGGATGCTGCAGCAGGGACTGGGATGTGCCAGCGCTCGCAGATCTTTGCCCAACCTGCAGACACCTTGCCCTTCCTGCTGACTGACCTGACACCAACACCCAGGGAGGAGTCTTCCTAAACTCTGAGGTGTTACTGAGGAGAACAGCAGGTCAGAAAACATCAATATCCAATCAGCCAAGGGACAAGCCCAGGGACTTTTTGCAAGAGAAAAATCTGAATGCCACAAACAAGTCATCCTAATACTTTTCATGTTTTCCCACAGCATTTGTGCCATTTTCCTGTGAGTTTGATCTGTCTCATACAGTTCTCATTCAAAATGTGCAAGATACAATTAAAGTTTGCATGAGAGAAAAGTCATCATGATTGTTTTCTAATCTACCATAATAATGGCCAGTCTTCGCGAGCGAAGATCCGGGGAAGGTCTTTCCACCTTCCAGCCTGCGCATTGGATTTTTTAGGTGAGACACAGTGTGCGCGGAACTGAGCCCACCCTTTAATCCTAAGGTTCATCTGCCGGGGCCAAGCGAGCTTGGACGGTGGCAGCGAGGTCCTTAGGACGTAGGTGGGTTGCCTTTAAGGGCTAACGAGCCCCACCTGCCCGGGAGTGGCCCTGACCGGGAATCGAACCCAGGTCTCCGCGGTGATAGCGCGGCGCCTTTACCCCTAGACCACCAGGGGCTCCTAGCTAATCTACCAACTTCATAATAGAATTACACAGAAAAAATAAATATTCTTTTTTAAAACCAAAACAAATCACTGAGATACCCACCTTCATTTCAAAGCAACCATTCACATGCAGATTATCCACATAATAGCAATGCCTGCTTGTCCAAAAATGTTGTCAAAGATGCAGCCTCCTCTTTTGAACTCTCAGGTGTCTCCCTGTTCCAAAGATCTGGGCTGGAGCCCAGGGCAGGCCAGCTTTGCTCCCAGGAACCTGCCAGAGCCCTTCTTAGGTGGTGCCAATCTGCCAGGCAGCATTTCCCAAAGCTGGAGGAAGCCTGAAAAGGAAGGAAACTTCCCCAAAGCCAGCCAGGCTTTTCTCAGCAGCTGAGCTGCTGCCCAGAGCCTTTGCCTCCCTGCACTCAGGGCCTCCAAGGAGCTGCTGCAGAGTCCCTGGGGAGGCTTTGTCAGGAGGGGCCCTCGGGGGGCTCCTTAAGGCTTCGAGGGCCTGCAGGATTTTCAGAGCAATTTGAGGCTTGCTTTTGCTTCTGCATCTCTAAGAGGTTTGTACAACCCTGGCCTCCAATTATCTACTGTAATGAGTCCCTTGAGAGCCCCAGACAGTGACAACCCTCAGTGGGTCATTAATGCTTCAAGGCACTCAGGGTTTCTTAAAACACTTCTTTTTGACACTGAGTCTCTGAGAGGTTAGTGCAATCATGGCCTCCAATTATCTGCTTTAATGAGTCCCCTGAGAGACTCTTTCAGTTGTGACACTCAGTGTAGCTCATAAATGTTTCAAGGCACTCAAGGCACTTAACTTTGTTAAGACACTTCTTTTTGACATTGAGTCTTTGACAGGCTTGTTCAGTCCTGGCCTCCAATTATCTGCTCTAAGGAGTCCCTTGAGAGCCTTTGTCAGGAATGGCCCTCAGTGGGGCTTGTTAAAGCTTCAAGGCACTACAGGTTTGTTAAGGTGCTTTGTCTTTTCCTTTGACTCTGAGTTTTGAAGAGTTTTGTGCAATCATGGCCTCCAATTCTGTGCTTTAATTAGTCCCTGGAGGGACTTTGTCAGTAGTGACACTCAGTGGGACTCATTAATGCTTTAAGGTACTCAAGGGTTTTGAAGGAACTTTTCCTTTTGAAAGTGAGGTTTTTGAGAGGTTTGTTCATTCATGGTCTCCAATTATCTGCTCTAATGAGTCCCTTGGGATTCTCTTTCAGTTGTGACACTCAGTGGGGCTCATTGATGCTTCAAGGCACTCAAGGAAGTAATTATTAAGACACTTCTTTTTGACACTGAGTCTTTAAGAGGTTTGTTCAGTCCGGGCCTCCAATTATCTGCTCTAAGGAGTCCCTTGAGAGCCTTTGTCAGGAATGGCCCTCAGTGGGGCTTGTTAAAGCTTCAAGGTACCACAGGTTTGTTAAGGTACTTTGACTCTGATTTTTGAAGAGCTTTTTGCAATCATGGCCTCCAATTCTCTTCTTTAATTAGTCCCTGGAGAGACTTTGTCAGTAGTGACACTCAGGGGGACTCATTAATGCTTCCAGATACTTTGGGTTTTCCTTCTGACTTGCACTGATGGACAGGTTTGTACAATCTCCCCTCAGTACCTGATGTTCAAGGACTCAGCTCCAAAAGTCCCCCGGGACTCACTCAGATAAAGCAAGTCCTGACAAACCATGGCCCTTCCTGTGATTTCCCTCTAGTCTGGACAGTAAATTAGGAATGTTGTCTCATGGAATCAGGGGACCATTGTGACACTGCCCAGAGCCTTTGTCTGCCTGCACTCCTGGCCTGCAAGGATCTGCTCGAAGGAGTCCCTGGGGAGGCTTTGTCAGTGCCTGCCCTCAGTGGGGCCCAGCAATGCTTCAAGGGACTTGGACTTTGGCTTCTGACTTCTTGAGCAGCTTCTTCAATCTTCTCTCAGTACTTGGGGATGATGGACTTGTCTCTAAACACACTGCGGAGCTCATTAAAATACAGAAAACCAAATTGTTTTTCTTTTTCTTTAATTGGCTTTGTGTCTTCAAGTCTTAAAAAACTAATTGGAGTTAATTTGTAGTTTAGCTGAGGAGCCCCTGGTGGTCTAGTGGTAAAGGCGCGGCGCTATCACCGCCGAGACCCGGGTTCGATTCCCGGTCAGGGCCACTCCCAGGCAGGTGGGGCTCGTTAGCCCTTAAAGGCAACCCACCTACGTCCTAAGGACCTCGCTGCCACCGTCCAAGCTCGCTTGGCCCTGGCAGATGAACCTTAGGATTAAAGGGTGGGCTCAGTTCTGCGCACACTGTGTCTCACCTAAAAAATCCAATGCGAAGGCTGGAAGGTGTAAAGACCTTCCCCGGATCTTCGCTCGCGAAGACTGGCCATTAATTAATAATAATATTAATATTAGCTGAGGAGGACGATTTTAAAGTGGAAGTCACAAAAATATAATTTTCTATGAAAGGGAGTGATTTACACAGAGCCTTGGGATATAAGAGGGTCATGTGCAAAGGTTTTTGAACAGAAGGATAAGGGGGCAAAAGAGATTAATAGCATTTAATCGTTGACCAACTTAACAGTTAGTAAGTGATTCAATATAATTTGTACAATTGAACTCTGACTGAATTATAGATTCCCAATAACAACACTTACACCACTGTCAATTCACACCCACACCCAGGCAGAGATGTGTGGACACATCAAGATCTGGGTGTGTAAAGGTCCCTCTCCAAAATTCTCCCTGTTGTCAGTGAAACCCTCCCACACATCCCTTTGTGTTTTCCACCAGGCAAGGGTCACAGCTGGAGGAGTGTTTGTTGAAGGGGATCAGAATTGTCCTGGGCATCAGCGACGCCCTTTGGAGTGTTTCAAACTGGAGGGTTCCTGTCATGGTTTTGCTGGTTCTTAGAAACTCAGCAGGAATTTTTTTTCCGTTCCCTCTGCCCACTGCATGCAGAGCTGTTAAGGGGGAACTTAAGGAGCAGAAAGGAACCTATTTTCTTGTTAAGGGCTCAGAATCTCATCTCCTGGGAAACAGGGGTGAGGAGCTCTTTTTTTTTTTTTTCTTCCTCGTTCCCTGGGAAACAGGGGAAGGAGTTCAGGCTTTCTGCTGAGGATGGAACAAGGTTGGAGGAGATCTCGGTGTGTTTGTTCTCAGCCTGGTTGCCTGCTAGGCAGCCCCTGGTGGTCTAGTGGTAAAGGCGCGGCGCTATCACCGCGGAGACCCGGGTTCGATTCCCGGTCAGGGCCACTCCCAGGCAGGTGGGGCTCGTTAGCCCTTAAAGGCAACCCACCTACGTCCTAAGGACCTCGCTGCCACCGTCCAAGTTCGCTTGGCCCCGGCAGATGAACCTTAGGATTAAAGGGTGGGCTCAGTTCCGTGCACACTGTGTCTCACCTAAAAAATCCAATGCGCAGGCTGGAAGGTGGAAAGACCTTCCCCGGATCTTCGCTCGCGAAGACTGGCCATTATTATTATGTGGTTGCCTGCTGTGGATCCTGCTTGGATTCCCAGTTCCCATTGATTTCTTTTCTTAGGAGTGGTCCTTGTGCACATCAAAGGGAGAAGGAAAACTAAATCGCACAATTCAACCAGCCGAATAGAGTGAGGGTTTTTTCCCATTTTGGAGGACTTTTTTTCTTTTTTTCTCTCACCTCCCTCTCTCTCTCCCCTTTTCCCAGTGTGTGGGAAGGGGAGGGAAACCCATTTTTGGTTTCTCCAACACAGCCCAGAGGGTGTTACCCCCACGTGGCAACGACCAGTGATTCCACAGCGCCCCCTGCTGGTCAGCAGAAAAAACTGCAGGCTCGGTATCTCCAGTGATCCAACAGCGCCCCCTGGTGACTGGCACAGGACACTACAAGTTCTGCATCTTTAGTGACCCAACGGCACCCCCTGTTG